TGGAGTGAGGGAATGCAAAGCCAATCTCTCAAGCGCATCGCAAAGCCTCTGCTAACCCTATGACTGCTAATATTCCATTAGCCAAAGTCATCTGTCCAAACCCAAAGTCAAGGACCTGGAAGCCTGCTCTGCACGGCCGGAGGCCATGGTGAGGGTGAGTGTGGGATCCTATTCCCCCTATGCCCATCCAGATGTGCAGCCTGCCTGGGGGTGCTGAGCAGTGTTTGGGGACCATGGCCTGTGGGAAGTAGGCCAAGCCTTTCTACCTGAGCAGGGACAGCAGAGATTCCCGGCTCTGTCAATCAATGCCCAGCTAAAGACAGGAAATTGGAGCTGAGTGACACCCAGAGGTTCGGAGAGGAAATGACACGTGGAAAGCCTGGCCCTTAAGTCCAGCCTTTGCCCTGAGGGGTGGGAGCCCATAGGCCTTCCAGCTGGGTGCCCTCAGGAGAGGCCTGGAGAATGGAGGGGAGAACACTTTGTAGTCATCTGGACCTGCCTGCAGCCCCGGTCACCTGGCTGAACCTGGGCAGGGCCGGGCCAGGCTCTTCTTGGAGGCCCCTGAAGACAGGTGCCCTGCACCACGTGGACAGGACCGAGGCTCGGGAATCTCTTGCTTCCCACGGCAACTTTTCCCTCTGGAAAACGGGCGAGACAGAAACGTGTTGCACGGAAGCACCTGGAACGCCGCGCGCCCACGCTTCTGGCCTTGGCTGGGGGCGCCGTCGGGGGTCCCACCCCTCATTCCGAGGGAGACCCCCAGGACCCCCGCGCCCTCCCTCTCCCCCGAGCTTGATTAGGACTTGGTGCCGCCAGGTCGCGGGAATCTTCATCGCCTCTGCAGCCCTGGAGGAGGGCGCCGTTTCCACCCCTCACCACAGGCTGCAGCCGCAGGCCAGGACGCTTAGCTGGCCCTGCTGGGGGGTCCTGGCAGACAAAGTCGTCAAGCGGATCTCCAAGCGCAGCTAAGTTGCCCCTCAGATGCTCAGGCAGGGTCGAGGGACCCGGCCCTGGGATCCCGCGACCCTAACCGGCCGCGGAGCCAGCCTGACCCAGCTCTGGTGAAGCGGTTCCGGAGCGGGAGCCGCGCGACCTCGTGTGGCCATGCCTGGGAACGCAGGTCCTGGAAACTGGCTGCCCGGGGCTCAGGACCGGCTGCCAAGACCCCAAGGAAGGAAACATCTGGAGGCAGGAGGCGAAGTGAGAGAGGCCCCGGGAGCCCCTCGACAGGCCTCACTCACGCTCTGCATGTTGGAAGGCCCTTGACAGAACAGAATCTTTTATGATGGCCAGAGATGCATCCCCTTTGAAAGGAGGGCTGCCAGGTAGCACAGCCCTGCATCCTGTTTCCCCTGGAGACTCACTGAGCACCTAGTCACTCCATGTCTTTGCTCTTCCTTGAGAGCTCTAGCTTGAGCCCGGTGCGAGGCTCCTCCAAGGCTGCCTTGAAGATTTGGGGGCAACCTAAGAGACATAGCCCAGGGTAACAGGAAACAAGACAGTAACAGACAACTAAGTCTTATTCCACAGGAGATGGGGCGTGCCCATCATGAGCCAGCCACCCTGAAAGGCTCTGAAGCTATGTCCTTTGCACGCTACAGGAGGCTTTTGAATTCGACCACCAAAATTCTGACTTACCAAAGGGCAAACCCCACAGTGAGTATTCTGCTCAGCAAGGGGCTTTTGGGTTCCTTCCCTGCTTTAAGCCCAGGAAGAGACCTCACACACTTTATTATTTATTTATTTATTTATTTATTTATTTATTTATTTTGAGATGGAGTCTCACACTCTTGCCCAGGCTGGAGTGTAGTGGTGCCATCTCGGCTCACTGCAAGCTCCGTCCCCCGAAGTTCACGCCATTCTCTTGCCTCAGCCTCCCAAGTAGCTGGGACTACAGGCGCCTGCCACCACGCCCGGCTAATTTTTTTGTATTTTTAATAGAGATGGGGTTTCACCGTGTTAGCCAGGATGGTCTCGATCTCCTGACCTTTTGATCCGCCCACCTCAGCCTCCCAAAGTGCTGGGGTTACAGGCATGAGCCACCGCGCCTGGCGGAGACCTTACATACTTCTTGCTCCCCAACCCTATGCACCTCTGACGTGAGAACTCACATTTAAGGAGGAGTTACTGTGTGGGAGGCACACACACCATTCTGATCATTTGGGTGGGCACTGGTCCTACCCAACTTCATTCAAGAATTGGAGTGTGACTGATGTGGTTTGGCTGTGTCATCACCCAAATGTCATCTTGAATTCTCAGGTGTTGTGGGAGAGACCTGGTGAGAGGTCTCTCACGGGGGCAGGTCTTTCCCGTGCTGTTCTTGTGATAGCGAGTAAGTCTCGTGAGATCTGATGGCTTTAAAAACAGGAGTCTCCCTGCACAAGCTCTGTTCTCTTGTCTACCACCATGTGAGACCTGCCTTTCACCTCCTGCCATGATTGTGAGGCCCCCAGCCATGTGGAACTGTAAGTCCATTAAATCTCTTTCTTTTGTAAATTGCCCAGTCTCAGGTATCTCTTTATCACCAGCATGAAAATGGACTCATACAGTGACCTTAGAGGTACTAAGAGTAAACTGGAAACTTTGAAGAAGTTTATCCAGGCAGGTTGCCTTCACATTTTGGCCAGCTGCCTGGGAGCTTGATGCCGTCTTTTGGATTTAGCCCAAGATTCTCAAACTTGTGATCAATTATACTCCAAGGAATCCATAAAGGAATTTTGCTTTATTTAGTCATTGCATGGAGCATGGTGCACTGGGATATGTTGACAGTCATTTGATGTGATTGTGAGTTTGTTATTGATATAATTGGTGCAGCCAGAGAAAAGCAGCTAAAACTTCTGCAAAATTGACTCATAATGTTGTAACACATAATATGGGGGAAAAAGCAGAATCACAGTAATGACTGGGGACTTGTAGTTCCCATGTGCTTGAAGATGTGTGTGCTTGGGATTTTGATAATTTACAAAGCTTTACGCCCTCATCTCCCTGCTTTCCAGCCTTTTTAAGATCTGAAAGGAAATTTGCAAATTGGCTTCTGAAAGCTACAACTGATACATCAGCAAATCAGAGCTGGCCTTGGCGTGTGAAGTCCAAATCCTGGGACCCAGACCTGGACCCCAGTGATGGAAGGAGCACCACATACCTGGAGACCAAATAATCCTTTTCAAAAGAGACACCCACTTCAGGTGCAGGGTTGGTTTTCTACTTCTGAAAAACAAACTTGCCTTGCCCCGCCCCTCCTTTCCCATTATTGACAACAGCCCGACCCCAATCCCCCGCCTGCTGACACACAGAGAATGTGTCCCAACTGGCAGAGCAAAGTTGTTTGGGGCCACTGAACACTTTACCCAAATTCAATTCTAAGCCAACCTGCATCTAGAAGACCAAGACAAGTGTTCTCCCCACGATAACACAAAAGGTTCTTAGGGTTTTGGGGCATTGCACATGGTGACCAGAGTGCCTCGTCCACCTCTCTCCGGAGCCAGGTAGAAAGAGAAATACTCTCTCTAGAATATTCCTTCTATCTCTAGACTAGAAAGAAATACAGTGCCAGCCACATACGCAATTTTAAATTTTTTAAAAGTCACATTTTATAATGTGCAAAGAAATAAGTAAAATTAATTTTAACAACTTCTTTTTTATTAATCCAGCATGAAATAATTTATTTCAAGATGTAATGAGTATAACAATTATTGATGAGACATTTTACCTTTTTTATATGAAATCTGCTGTGGATTTTATATTTCCAGGGCATCTCAGTTCACACCAGCTGCAATTCAAGTGCTCAGGAGCCACACGTGACCTGTGACTGCCTTATTGGACAGCGCAGGTCTGGAGTGCATCTCTGGATCTCATGGAACAACAGAGCACCATCACTGCCACCACCCAAAGTCCAAACCAAGGGGCCAGGCCCTCAGCGCTGCCTTCGAAACATAACTGAACCAAAACTACCATAAATGTGGGTGGTGCCTGGGCCCAAAAGACCTAGTGGATAGCACTTGCTGAAGCCTCCATGGGGCATTCTCATCCCAGGAATGACTGCTTGGGGAAAGACTGAGCCAGGGCCCCTATCTAAACAGGCATACCTGTTCCATCAGGACCCTTGGTTGGCTTTTCCAGGTAAATGAATGTCCACAGGAGGGCACCTACAACATCTTTAGTGCCATTGTTGTTGAATTAAAAATGAAGTCCAAGGCTGGTCTGGTGATGGATTAATTGACTTTTTATTGTGCAATAAGCAATGGGACACACATTTCATTCTTAGCCTTGGCTGCCAGGAAACTCAGAGCCAAGTCGACTCTCAGTTAAAAGCTATTGCCTCGGTTATTCCTCCATTATGATATCGTTGTTATCCTTTCACTTCTACTTTAATACTTTGAGGATTTCACAGGGTTTCCGCCTTCTGAAACTTTAAGCAACTGTACATCATTTTTAGAAATGGGCAGAAAAGGAAGTTTTCAGATTTTACCACTAGATGGGAGCATTGTACAATAGACTACCGCATTCAGCCTCCCGCTGGCCCTCCCCACTACCACTCTGGCCTATTCCACTACTTTAATAACTCTATGATTTGGGGCCATTGACCTTTAACACTCTGAGCCTCTGTTTTATCAAGTGAAAAAGGAAATGCTATTGTGAAAATGAACTGAGATGAAATATAGCTGGAGATGCAGAAGTAGCCTTGTGATTAAGTACATGGATTCTGATGCAGATGACTTGGTTTCAAATTCTATTTTGCCATTTAATTGCTGTAAGTGCAGGGAAGGTATCTAAGTTCAAGCCTTAGCTTCTCCTCTGTAAAACAGTGAGGCCAGTGCCTGCTTCTTAAGAATGTTGCAAGAATTTGAGGGCAGGGGTCTAAGCTCATAAGCGCATAAAGCGCTTAGAACAATGCCTGGCCACACAGAACATCAAGAGTTAGTAGCAACCATCGTTATCATCATCAACCCATAAAGCACCCACCACAGCACATGGCACTCACGCTTTTAGACCCCCGTGTGACACTCATATGCCTGTTGGTCTATGAGATGTTGGAAATGAGGCCTCCACGTGGGCTCTTGTTTGCGCCAAGGTGGGAGAACTGACTCCCGGCCCTGGTGCTCCTTGGGGTCAGAAACTGGGTGGGGAGGGAGGGATGTGGTAGGTGTACTGGGAAGAAAGATGTCTCAGAGCAGCTTGTGCTATGGGGAAGGCTTGCGGGAAGTGGGCTGGAGAGGTGAACAAATCTCTTTACGAATGTCATTGTGCAGTGTATTTGGATCCCGTCCCCATTTTTGACAAAGCAAGTGAAGAGTTGACACTATTGTGAACTTTTGGCTCCCAGGCTGTGTTTTAGTTTTTCCACTGCACCCTGCGTCAACACTAAACAAGAGTGGTCCTTCATTTATAATGGCTGCATTTATAAAGCACTCAACAAATATTATTACTGTTGAGTGTGAGAGAACACTCAATAAACATCACATATTATTACGTGACCAGGCTTCTGCATTCCACACCCAACTGGGGGTATAACCCTGGGTTTTCTCCAGCGCGGTCTCCACCTGCAGGACCATAGAAACCCTCAAACTCCCTGTTGTTTCCTTTGAGACTCGCTGTATTTTCTGTTTCCAAGAACAAAAATGATTTTGTTGGATTTAAATATTACAGCAAAAGAAACTCAGATTTGGAAAGCAAAATTAAAATTATAGTATTGAATATTCTTTCTTTAAACTCCACCCCCTCAGATATTCTAATCAACCCTCTGAAGGCAGCTTAACCTTCCCTGAAGCGCCTTGGTTCCATGAGAAGTGATTCCCCCTCAACCTCCATCTCTAAATCTCTTCCTGTGTTAAAAAATCAGTATTAGACATGAGGCCCTGCCTCAGTTTGGGGAGGATATGTCTAAACACCACAGGCCCTACAGTCTGGCATACTCAGCTTCCCAAACCTTCTGTGCTGTATTTCTAAGATTCCCACTGCTTCACTCACTGATAAGGAATAATGTAAGACTAACTTTATTAAAACAATTTGGGGTCACCATGTGGGGCCCAGATAGTCATCTTTTGCTACAAAGTGTGTTTGGAGGAATAAGGTAGGAATCAGACACAAAATCTTCAGCAGGGCTCTCAGAACTAGGGGTCCCAAATTAGAGGGTACAGAGACCTGGGGCCATGCCCCCTGGCCACGGGAGCCTGTGATGGACATCTGACAGCGAGCACAGGCTTTGCCTTCCCACCCCCTCAAAGTTGGAAGGCAGCTGTGGCTCATTGCTGCTATCCTCCTGGGCCACCACAGGTCACAGCACAGGTCTATGGCCATAGGGAGTCAATCTCTTGGGGGTTCCAGCTTCAGTAGCATCAGCCTCGAGAGAAAAGTGGGGCTATGCAATCAGGTAAGTACAAGGTGGGGAACAAAGGCATCCGCATTGAGAAAGGAAAAGTAATACTCTCTATTGTAGATGACAAGCTCCTGTGTGCAGAAAATCCCATGGAACCCATAAAAGCACGATCAGGACTAATAAAAAGATCTATTAGTCTGCTTTTATGCTGCTGAAAGAGACATACCAAAGACTGGGTAATTTATAAAGGAAAAGAAGTTTAATGGACTCACAGTTTCACATGGCTGGGGAGGCCTCACAATCATGGTGGAAGGTGAAAGGCACTTCTTATGTGGTAGCAGGCAAGAAAGAGAATGAGCAGGGGAACTCCCCTTTATAAAACCATCAGATCTCGTGAGACTTATTCACTACCACAAGAACAGCACAGGAAAGACCTGCCCCCATGATTCAATTACCTCCCACTGGGTCCTTCCCATAACATGTGGGAATTTTGGGAGCTACAATTCAAACTGAGATTTGGGTGAGGATACAGCCTAACCATATAATTCCACTCCTGGCCCCTCCCAAATCTCATGTCCTCACATTTCAAAACATATGCCTTCCCAACAGTCCCCCAAAGTCTGTTTTCATCATCATTAACTCAAAAGTCCACAGTCCAAAGTCTCATTTAAGACAAGGCAAGTCCCTTCCACCTTATAAGCCTGTAAAATCAAAAGCAAGTTAGATACTTCCTAGTTACAATGGGGTTACAGGCCCTGGGCAAATAAACCCACTCCAAATGGAAGAAATTGGCCAAAACAAAGGGGCCACAGGCCCCATGCAAGTCCGAAACCCAATAGGGAAGTCATTAAACTTTAAAGTTCCAAAATGATCTCCTTTGACTCCATGTCTCACATCCAGGTCATGCTGACACAAGAGGTGGGCTCCCATGGCCTTGCACAGCTCTGCCCCTGAGGCTTTGCAGGATACAGCACCTCTTCTGGCTGCTTTCACAGGCTAGCATTGAGTGTCTGAGGCTTTTCCAGTTGCATGGTGCAAGTCGTTGGTGGATCTACCATTCTGGGGTCTGGAGGACGGTGGCCCTCTTCTTACAGCTGCACTAGGTGGTGATCCAGTAGGAACTCTGTGTGAGGGCTCCACCCCACATTTCCCTTCTGCACTGCCCTCGCAGAGGTTCTCCAGGAGGGCTCCACCCCTGCAGCAAACTTTTGCCTGGAGATCCAGGTGTTTCCATACATCCTCTGAAATCTAGGCAGAAGTTCACAAACTTCAATTCTTGACTTCTGTGCACCTGCAGGCTCAACACCATGTGGAAGCGGCTAAGGCTTGGGGCTTGCACCGTTTGGAGCCACGGCCCGAGCTGTACCCTGGCACCTTTCAGCCACAGCTGGAGCAGCTGGGATGCAGGGCACCAAGTCCCGGAGTTGCACACAGCACAAGGGCCCTGGACCCAGCCCAGGAAACCATTTTTCCCTCCTATGTCTCTGGCCTGTGATGGGAGAGGTTGCCTTGAAGTCTCTGACATGCCTTGGAGACATTTTCCCCAGTGTCTTGGTGATTACCACTGGACTCCTTGTTACTTATCCAAATTTCTGCTGCCGGCTTGAATTTCTCCCCAGAAAATGGGTTTTTCTTTTCTATCACGTCATCAAGCTGCAAATTTTCCAAATGTTTGTGCTCTGCTTCCTCTTGAACACTTTCCTGCTTCAAAATTTCTTCCACCATGGCTGGGTGCAGTGCCTCATGTCTGTAATCCCAGCAGTTTGGGAGGCTGAGGCAGGCGGATCACCTAAGGTTGGGAGTTTGAGACCATCCTAACCAACACGGAGAAACCCCATCTCTACTAAAAATACAAAATTAGCCAGGCATGGTGATGCATGCCTGTAATCCCGGCTACTCAGGAGGCTGAAGAAGGAGAATTGCTTGAACCTGGGAGGCAGAGGTTGCAGTGAGCCAAGATTGCGCCATTGCACTCCAGCCTGGGCAACAGGAGTGAAACTCCGCTTCAAAAAAAAAAGAGAGAACGAAATTTCTTCCACCAGATATCCTAAATCATCTCTCTCAAATTCAAAGTTCCACAGATCTCTAGGGCAGGGGCAAAATGCTGCCAATCTCTTTGTATAGCAAGAATGACCTTTACTCCAGTTCCCAACAAGTTCCTCATCTCCATCTGAGACCACCTCAGCCTGGACCTTATTGTCCATATCATTATAAGCATTTTGGTCAGAGCCATTCAACAAGTCTCTAGGAAGTTCCAAACTTTCCCACATTTTCCTATCTTCTTCTGAGCCCTCCAAACTGTTTCAAGTTCTGCCTGTTACTCACTTCCAAAGTCGCTTCCACATTTTCAGATATCTTTACAGCAGCACCCCACTCTCAGTACCAATTTACTGTATTAGTCTGTTTTCATGCTGCTGATCAAGACACACCCCAAACTGGGTAATTTATATTAATGGACTCACAGTTCCACATGCCTAAGGAAGCCTCACAATCATGGCAGAAGGTGAAAGGCACATCTTACATGGTGGCAGACAAGAGAGAGAATGATCAGGGAAACTCCCCTTTGTAAAACCATAGATCACGTGAGACTTATTCACCACCATGAAAACAGCACAGGAAAGATCTGCTCCCATAATTCAATTACCTCCCATTGGGTCCCTCCCACAACACATGAGATTTATGGGAGCTAAAATTTAAGATGAGATTTGGGTGGGGACACAGCCAAACCATATCATAAGCACAGTAAGTCTCAGTATACAGGATCAATATACAAAAACCAATTGCACTTCTATGTATAAACAATGAACAATCTGAAAAAGATATTAAGGATACAATTCCTTGCACAAAACAGCAACAAAAAATAAAATACTTAGGAATTAATT